CCCCCCCCCTCCACCGTCCGATCCATTTTGGATCCCACGCCGAAGAGTTTTGGGGTGTCTTAGCTCTAAGTCCTTCACCACCAATGGGGGACTTCAGTATTTATTTTCAATGCCGTACCAATAGGCATTAACCTTGGGTAAGCTTGTGCTTACTTTGGACTGTACCGTCCTCATCCTCTGGGGGAGGTAGAGAGGAGGGGGGGGGCATGGCCTCTTCTTTTCAGGGGGTTTCGGGTACTGGTTGGGGGTCGGGTCTATGTGTACTACATTCTCGAATTGTCCCCTCACTACAGCTACTGTGGATTTTCAGTTTACAGCTATCCTTACTCAACGCGTCTATGTGGCCGGCAATCTCGAATNTTGGGGGTCGGGTCTATGTGTACTACATTCTCGAATTGTCCCCTCACTACAGCTACTGTGGATTTTCAGTTTACAGCTATCCTTACTCAACGCGTCTATGTGGCCGGCAATCTCGAATTTCCGTATGCAGCTTTCGTCACCCAATGCGTCTATGTGTCCGGCAGTCGCAAACGTCACTCAACCCGTTAGGTCTCAATATTCAGCTATCCTCACTCAAAGCGTCTATGTGGCACTATCCAACATCACTCAACTCGTGAGGTTTCAGTATGTAGCTATCCCCACGCAGTGTGTCTATGTGTCTTGCAAACTCAAAAACCAATCCCTCTGTGAGGTTCCAGTATGCAGCTATCCTCACTCAACAAGTCTAGGTGTCCGGCAATCTCTATCGCAAATCACCTGTGAGGTTCAATATGTGTCTACCCTCATTCAACGCGTCTATATGTCCGGCACTCCAACATCACTCAACCCGTGGGGTTTCAGCATGCAGCTATCCCCACTCAACCCGTCCATGTGTCCGGCAATCTCAAACCTCACTCAACCCTTGGGGTTTCAGTATGCAGCTATAATCACTCAACACGTCGATGTGTCCGGCAATCTTCCACATCACTCAACCTGTGAGGTTTCCGTAAGCAATCCTCACTCCACGCATCCATGCGTCACGCGTCTTTGGTAGCGCATACTATGGGGGCTTTCTTTGGGGTGGCGTGTTTTGCAGCGCTTTGCCAACAGCGCCAACCCACTTTANGGGGGGGGGGGGGGGGGGGGGGGGTGTTGTGGCAAACCTGAGGGTACCAATCGTGTCGGATGCGGTTTAATCTTCACCGCCGCCGCCGCCCCTAAATAGGGATTTGGTAGAGGCATGTTTCTCGGGTACCTAGCGCTAGCCTTCAGTATGTACCCCACACCGTTGCCATTGATCGCAGTAGTATCCGAGGTTTGCAGTATTCCACCCTGAAAAAACGTGTACGTACATGCGATTAAATTTACCCTACTTTCTCCCGCAGAACCGGGGCGAGAGGATAGAATTGCGAGGCAACCGAAAAACGCTCCAGGCATTAGCTAGCTAGGCCTCGGCCTACACCAAAAGGCTGCTGACTGGCCTGGTCGTGTTGGTTGACTTCGTTTGCTAGCTTTGCCGTGCTGCCTCCTGGATGGCTTCAAGCGTATGCAAGGACGACAAACATTCACACGCGTTCTGCTGTAACCACTAAAACCGCCCCCGCTATTTGGTTACCCTTTCATTCAGCTACACGGACAAGAAAAACATCATCGCCATGTTGAACAAAGAGGCCAGGGGCTTCGAACCTTCTGACGAGGAGCTCAGGTATGCACCTCGTGTCTACGTGTACGGTTTGCGAAGATGGTGACGTGGGGGGTGCTGGTGCTGATTTCGTTGTCCGTGAGCAGGCAAGGCGTTTGTTGCATGTGGTCTGCTGTGTTGCTTGCGGAAAAAGTGAGAGCTGTTTCTTTAACTAACATGGAGCGTTCGAAGCGGTCGGTTGCGCGTGGTAACCTTCCAAAATGGACGATGAATTCAGCACTCCAGATACCACGGCACTTTCCTGTCTTGACGTGTTGCCTGATGCTTTACCCTAACTTTTGTGGTTTCCCTCTTGCTGCCTGCGTGCAACCGTCCTCGTCTCAATAGTGGCATTTTCGACCGAGCGTACTCGCACATCCGGTACATGATCGAGTCGAACATCGTGCACAAGTTCTTGGAGACGGACGAGTTTCGTAAGGCAGCCAATTCCGTGCCGCCCAGCCGCCGCGAAAGACGCCTGTTCCTCTTGCCGTGCTAACTGTCATGCCGACAATGCTGCTGGCCAGAGTGTGAGGCCAGCCGGCCTGATGAGCTCGAGCTTTTGTTTCAGGCACCGACGGAGAGAGGACGCCGTCGATCTACCTATCATGTCATGGCCCGTTGCGTCTCGACCCGGGCTGTCGCCGTCGTCATTGCTGTTGCTATTGTTTTTGTTTTGTTGTCGCGAAATGGATACCTTCCATACCTTCCATACTTTCCTCGCCTCAAGTATATCCTAAAGGGGCTTTGTAGGTAGTAGACGCTGGAGGCGCTTTATTTCGTGTTGTTCTTATGTCTACTTTTTGGAGAAACAAATGGCGGCGGTACGACGTGCGTATCTACCGTCCTCGCCCTCCCTCACCATGCTAGATGATTTCCACGTGTTGTGCCGGGTGGGCAAAATCCTCCGAATCTTTTGTATTGTGTCGGATTACAACCTTCGCGTTTACGTACAGCAAGGGCGTCAAGCGGGAAGTGTTTCGTGTGGCAAGCAGGCAGAGGTTGCGCCCGCGCAGCGAACGTCGTTTCTCGGACGTTTCGCCCCAAGTCCAAAGAAGAAGCAAGTCATCTACGTGCCTTGAGCTTGTGTGCCTGCGTGGAGTGTAGCGGGAGCAGCCCAGCGTTACCGTGTATCAAGTCCGTCCGTTCGTGGGAAGGAAGGGAGGGAGGCAGGGGGGTTAGCGCGTGGCGGTTCGTTGGGGGTGTCTTTCTGGGGAACGTGGGGGGGGGTCGTGCATGTACACCTGCAGGTAGGTACCACACACCGCAGTCTGGATGGATTTCGTATTTGTTTGGCAAGCACATAAATAGTTGGGAGAGAGAGAGAGAGAGAGAGAGAGAGAGAGAGAGAGAGAGAGAGAGAGAGCGTGGGAGGGAAGAAAGGGGGGTCAGTATATCGTATATCGTATATCGTAGGGCGCCCCGGGCGCGTGGTAGTATACGGGAGGAATGTTTTTCAGAAACTACACTCCGGTCGGGGATGGTTAAGGGTTAATGCTATTGGCAAGTCGTTGTGAATTACGACGCCGTTTTTTGTACGTCACGTGGACGTTGCGCGATAAGACCTCACTGCACGCAGGGGGTGTTGCTGCCTGCAGCAACATGCACCGCTTTGAGTTATATCTGCTAGAGTTCGGTCTTTTTCGCTCCACAAGCGTCCCATTGCGGCTGTTTGCAGGCGGCGAAGTAGAGTATTGGTGATCGTGCGGTTCAGGTCCTTGGTCTATTTTGTTTCCGTGGTGTGGGTGTTGCCGCTGCAGTTGTGAGTCGATACCGGCGGTTTTACTTCAGCCGCGGCGCCGGGCAGCGCCATCCCGGTTTGGCGAGCCATTTGACAAAGCGAGTGATCCCAGCCTGTTTGGGTGTGGTAGTGTGTGTCAGCCAGGCCTTTTCTGGGGGGGGGGGGAAATACTGCTGTGGTTGAGAAACTTTTCGCGAGCACGCCTAACCAACAGCGTACATGGAGTCCGATTATCTTGGTGGGTGGCTACCCCGGCGTGTTTGCTGTCCCGCAGTGAGTGCCAGTGGCGCTTAGTAGAGCTAAGGAGAGTGGCCGGCTCGTTTTTTTTTTTCTCGCAATGCTGACGTTTTCTCTTGCATGGCCCTCAAGCTCGTGGTGCGTTTTTCTTTAATCTTCGCTTGGCTGGCTGACCCGTTGACGTATGTGCGCAATTCGCAAATAACGGGTGAATGGGTAGGTCTTGATGTTCATTCCTTCCCTGTTGGTGCAAGATCTGGCTTAGAGGTAAAACCCTGTTTGTTTGTAGTTGCAGGAGATGAATCGTTGAATGTTGCTGGTTGGTTGCTGCGGGACATCTGCCACCGCCGCCAGAGAGCATTAGGGCGGCATGGTATGTTCGTTGTGTCGTGACGTATAATTTAACAAGGGGGGACAGGGGAGCGAGGCGCATCTGACTTACGTCAGCCCTACCCGGATGGATCCCCCTTGCCCGTGGAGTTTACGCCGTGTCCTGTTACTGTCAGAAAAAAGTAGAGTATTGTAGTGATGTGTAGGGGCACTTGATTGTGGTAATCGTATCTTGCCCTTGTCCTTGTTCTTGCTCTTGATGAACATTTTCCTCACTTGTTTCTTGTATTTTGGGGGTGTCGCGTTCTCATGGGTGGCTTTGGTAGAAATAGTTCATGTTGTGTTTTTTGGTACGCCAAGAGTGTTGATGTTTCTGGAAACTAACCTAGTGGCACTCTCGCGTGTCCTTTCCAAGAAGCCATGTACAAACTTGTCCTCCCTTTCTCCTTGGCATGTGTTGTAGGGTGTGCTCCTTAGAATTCTGCCGCTGTTTGATGGTATGCGCGAGGGTGCATCGTATTTATTATTTTCGTTTCTTTCCCTTGCCCTTGTCGAATGGATAGGCGAACCCGTAGTACCAATCCCTCGTCGACAGTGTGTAGTAGTTGTGATGGCAGTCCGGAGTCCGAGGAACAACGTTAAGATAGAATACGGGCTTGCGGTGGTATACATGATCCAAGTATATGAATCAAATGTGCGCACACCGTAAGGGTGCGGCTCTCGTTGCCAACTTTTCTGTGCAGTCAGGTTCAACTGCGTGGTTCGATTCGGACCGACCCCTCGAGCATAACTCAACATCATCTCGACATGGAAGATTATTGTCGGAAGTCAGCAGGCTGTGGTCGTGGTATGATTGTTGCTGTACCAGATGGATGATATGGATGTGAGCCGTTGGATCATGCTCTCTCCCCGCCCCGCTCTTCGTGGCGATTTTTATCATGGCACCGCTAACGAGTTGTTTTGATTCTCTCGGCGATTCATTGCGTTGGACATTTTCCTGACGGCAGGTTTGAAACGTAAAAAACACTTCTGTACTGTCATCCCGACAAAACACCGAATGGTAGAGGATCATGGTACCAATGAATGTGTATATAATGTCGTGCACGTTCAGACAGTGGCGCATCATGGTGCACAGAGATTGACACCTCCGTATCCTTCATCATCCCTATTTCCTTTCATCATCACAACATCGACAGAGTAGACTATTCAATGAATGCATGGAGCTGGCTTCTCTAGTTTGTGTCTACCGGCTCACGACGGAAGACTATCGAGCGTAGGCAACAGCTGACCAAAGGTCGAGGACCTTTGAGGTTCGAGGTCGACGAGACGAGCGCAGCTACGTCACACGTTGCCCCTCGCGACACCAACTCAACATACAAAGTGCTGGGATCGGGGGGTCTATTGCCGTGCAGAGAAGCACTCCCTTCCATCAACAAGCGAGCGATGTTACAGTAGATGCCATTACGCCTAACACCAACTTCGGACCAGTTCCAGTTGGCTTGCGAGTATTTCCACTGGGACGATCAATCCTAAATTTCACTGCTCAACCATGCTACTAACCCGCGCACTAGAACTCTCTTCTGGATGGGTAGTTGTGTGTTGTTGTTTCTCACATTAGCTCTATAGTCTAGTCCACAAAAAATGGGGAGCCCGTGGTCTCAAAACCCGGCACATAAGACGCCGCGGGCAAACAAAATAAAAATAGGGCACAAACCACTCGGAACAAGAAAGCAAAATGATATTTAGAAAGAAAAGAACAGGTACCGCACCGACGGTTCGAGGAAAGAGTCACTTGGCGAAATGATCGATGTCCGCAGCGAGAGCTACGTGATACATGCTGCCCCCCAAAAGTGTCGACTTCAGTCGCGCTATCACTCATTGGAACCAACTGACAACAGAATTGTAGTTGCTGTTTGTTGTGTAGTTGGCAGTGGTGGCGCAGTTTGGGTAGATACAACACAGAGTGATCATTAGATCCAAAACACAGGCGCCCAAGCTGTCTTCACCTGACGGTTACAGACTTGGAGACACGCCTTCACAATACTGCACAAAACCCATGCAGTAGAATAGAGTCAGTTCTTGCATACAAATCCCAACATGTCCTCTCAAGAACTACGTCATGACTAGCTCTGATACATAAGACACAAAATTCTTTCTCTCAGTGTCCTCTCGAAACAAATACCAGTGTCCTCTCGACAAATGCTATCAACATGAATGCATGCTCTCGAACAATTCAAATTGAATACTCATCACTAACTGCCAGAGTTTTCTGGGCAGCGAATTCCATGTACCGTCCAACCCTTTTAAGACATATGGTCTGATTTCGGTAAGGGGAGGTACTCACACTCCAAGCAAAATAAGGCGGTTCTGCAGGAACTTCACAGCTCCCGAACTTTTGGTCAATATGTCTGCCCTCTGCCTGTTGGTGTCGATGTAAGTTACATCTACCACGTTTTGGTCCTCTAGGTGCCGGACGTGGTGGAACTTCACGTCGATGTGCTTCGTGCGGGGCGTGATTTTGCTACCCTTTGCGAACGCTACGGCACCCGCGTTGTCCTCGTACAATACTGTTGCTTGCTTCTGCTTCATCTTCAACGACTCTAGCAAATTTCGAAAATGTATAACCATGAGGCACGCCTTGGACAGCGCGACGACTTCTGCCTCGAACGTGGAGATGGCCAGCACCGTTTGATTCTTGGCTATCCAGATCACTGGGCCACCTGCGAGATAGAGAACGACACCGGTTGTGGAGTAGCCCTTGTCTTGGTCACCGGCAAAGTCAGAATCCGCGTACGCCGTTAGCTTGTCTCCGCCGTCGGCGTCTTCGGTGTATGTGATCCCGATAGTGGTTGTCCCTTTTAGATACCTGAGAACCCGCTTCAGCTTTGCCATCGCCTTGGGACCCGGTTTCGCCATGCTCTTCGTAAGCACCATCACCGAGTGGGTAATATCCGGCCTCGAACCCCTGCTGAGATACAGGAGACTGCCCGTGGCGGACCGGAAGTACACCGTGTCCTCTGGAGACAAAACCTTCTCCTCCACGGTGCTGATAGGCCCAGCCTCCGCAGGCGTCTTCGTAGAGTGCGCGTCGGCCATTCCGAACTTGTCAAGTACGGCCTTCGCGTACATCTCCTGCGACAGGAAGATCGTTCCGGCGTCGACGTTCCTCTCAAGTGCCATACCGAGCAGGAACTGTGCATCTCCCAGGAACACTGTGTCGAACCGCTCCTTCAGCTGCTCGACGACCCGCATCACCTGCGCTTCGTCGCTTCCCGACAAAAGAATGTCGTCGACGTACACGAGAAGGAGGACCCCTCCCGCGTTAAGGATGTAGAGACAGGGGTCCGCCGTACTCTGAACGAACCCGATCTCCAGCAGGAAGTCGTGGAAGGTGCCGTTCCAGCCCTTCGGAGAGAGGCGCAGCCCGTAGAGCCACGCCTTGAGTCGCCACACTTTTCCCTGTTGTTCCGGAGAGCACTCGAACCCTTTCGGAGGGATGACGTAGATCGGTTTCGCATTTGCAGGAACCCGCGCGTGGAGGAATGCCGTCTTGATATCGGCTTGCTTCAGGCCAAAACCATTCTTGGCTGCGATAGCAATCAGCAGGTGGACGGATTCCATGGACGCCACAGGCGCCGCTTTATCCTCGCCCGTGTCTGCTTGGTGAAAGCCTTGGACCACAACGCGGCTCTTCAGTCGAGCAAGCTCGCCATTCTTGTACTTCCGCTTATAAAGGTACCTTGACGGGATCGGCTGGTCCTGGGCACTCGTCGGCGGCTCGACCCAGTCGTACACATCAAGGTCGACAAGCGACTGGTTTTCGTTCCGCATGGACTCTTGCCAGTCTAGAGCATCCTGCCCACGGATCGCTTCGTCGTAGCTCGAAGGGTCGGGAGCCCTGTAGCCCACTTCGCCAGGGTTGCCAGTCCCGTTGTTGCCAAGCGAGCTTCCGGTGAGCAGGGAGCGTTCCACTTGCTCGAAGGCCTCCTCCTCCGTGGCAAAGGTAAACAGGTTCAGACGTTCAGTCGGCTTGGGGTTCCTGGTGCTGCGACGGGGGCCCGGCTCTTGCGCCTGAGGCGTGGGCTCCGGCTCGTTATCCTTCTGCTCGTCTTGTGGCTCCACCACACTGTCGACGTCGTCATCAGACTCTTCCGGACCGGGATGGTAAATCATTGGAGTCTCTGGCAGCGGATCATGCCCTGCCTTGGGGGGAACCACGTCGCGCGGGGCTTTCTCGCGAATAGAAACTTCGGCGGAGTTGGTGATCTTAAACTTGTCACGAGGGGACCATAGCCTCCACGACCGGCTTTTAGGGTTGACACCGACCAGAAACATCTTCTCAGCCCTGGCAGCCAGTTTGTTGGGCCTGTCCCCCGCTTCCACGTGCTTAAAGCATACCGAACCGAATTCGCGGATGTGGTGCAAGCTGCCAAGCGGTTTGTTCTCCCATACCTCAAGTGGTGCCTTGCCGCCCAAGACGTCCGTAGGCGTGCGATTCAGTATATAGATCGCGTATTGGAACGCTTCGGCCCACAGACTCTCCGGTAGATGAGGTGCCCCAAGAAGAAGGCGCCGCGTTATGGCTGCGACCGTGCCAAAGCCACGCTCGGCGACGGCGTTGCCTTGAGGCATGTACGGGGCGTTGGTCTCGATTTTGATTCCAAGTGATGCTGCCAGCGCCGCGAACCTTCCCTTGAACTCGCCCCCTCCGTCGCAGTGTAGCGTGGTGATACACAGTCCTTCCGGGTCGGCTTCCTCCTTGACAACAGTTTCCAGCGCCTCAGCAGCTGCATCTTTGCTCTTGATGGGAAAACCAAACCTCATGCGGGTATTGTCACACGTGAACATCACCGCACCCTTGTGTCCACCGAGAGATTTTACGGAGTGCGACCAGGTGTCTACGTGCAAGAGCGCAAGACGAGTGCCGGCGCGAGGTCGGTTAGCCGGTGGGTGACTAGACTTCTTGCTGTTGCCGACAGCACATACCTCGCAGTCGCCAGACTCGATGTTTTGGTCAAATTTAACCCCAGAATGCTCCTTCCTCGCCAGCTGCTGGAGGGCGCGCGGATTACAGTGGCCCATCCTCCGGTGCCACATGTGTGCATTCACCTTCGTCTTGAGCAGCATCGCGGTCCCGTCCATCCTCATGTCGTCGAGGACAATGTTCACGCTGTACATCCGCGAAATCTCCGTGGAGATGGGGAAGGCCTGATCGCTGCTACGGAGTGCTGGAGGAGTAGACAGAAGATCGCACATCACCCCCCTTTCCTTCAGGGCTCCGACCGAGAGGATGTTCGCTCCTAGGTTGTCAACCAGTAGTACTTGTAGCTCCACCGGGACGAGTTGGTTCCGGTCGTTTGAGATGCCGAAACGCAGGATACCTTTCTGAGCCGCGCTCGACGTTCCACACGAACCTTTGATCCTCACGTTGCAGTCCGACTTCTCGGTCACGTGGCGAGATGCGTAGGAATCCGCGCTAACCATGTGGCTAGACGCTGCTGTGTCTACGAACATAATGGTGCTCCTGGCGGACTCGTCCTTAACCTGGTACACACTGGTGTAGGCAACTATATCTGTTGCATCAGCAAGCGGGTTCTGCACCTGAACGTCACTAGCAGCATCAGCAGCACGCTCCTCGGGCAGCGGCACAGCAGGGGTATCCAGCACTTGCTCATCGTCGGCAGCGCGCTCCTCTGGCAGCGCCGCGGCAGGCGCCTCCGCCACCTGCTTCTCAGCAGCAGCGCGCTCATCGGGCAGCGCCACAGCAGGCGCATCCAGCACCTGCGCATCATCAGCAGCGCACTCCTCTGGCAGCGCCGCAACAGGCGCCTCCGGCACCTCCTCCTCAGCAGCAGCGCGCTCCTCCGGCAGCGCCGCGGCAGGCATTTCCAGTGCCTGCGGATCGTAGATGACAAGACCTTCCTGCACGCCCACGGCGGCGCGCTTCTCCGGCAGCGCCGCGGCAGGCATCTCCAGTGCCTGCGGTTCTCCAAACGAGATGGAAAAGTCCTCCGGCTCACCGCTGGATTCCTCGACTCGGGTGAACCATGCCTGCGTGGACGGTTCCGGCGCGGCGGCATTCGCCTGTTGGGCGTTATCCTCTCGCACGTTCTCCAGGCGAAGGGGGCAGCCGTCCCATCCGTGCTCTGTAGAGTTGTGGCAGTACTTGCAGCGTCCCTGACGGTCTCGGCCCTTTTGGTGACTTTTGTTTCCGCCTTTATTGGACTTGTTGCCGCGGCCTCGCCCGCGCACATCTTGCGCGCCTCCAGGGCTATCGCCTCTGGAATTTCCGGCGGAGGAGCCGCTGCTGCCGTTGTCTCCGGTCGGTTGGCTGCCATTGCCTTGGCGGTTGCGTCCGCCGCGTCCGCCACGTCCGCCTTGCTTACGGAAACTACGTGCACCCCCGTGCACGACCGTGTTGTGGGCACGGCCGTGGGCAGAAACCTTCCCCCTGATCTGCAGTGTATGGTACGCGGTCGCTCGGTGCGCGACATTTTCGAAGTCAAGATCCAACTCCGAGCCATCGGCTTGTCCGCACACCAGCGCGGCCTTAAGTTGGGCGTAGTGCTGGTCAGGAAGCGCGTTCAACAAGATATGCGTCTGGCGGGCTGGTACGACCTTGTCTCCAAGTGACTCGAGTTCGGAACTGATACGACGCAAGTCTTGGATTGCACGCGCCGGGTCGTAATCGTCCTCGGCAGTGACCGCAAGTGATCCTAACTCTCGCTGCAGTTCATGCATCCGATAGGTGCCCTTCTGGCGGTACTTCGCTTCTAGGGCAACGTATGCCGCACGTCCGTCCCCATGCTCACCAACGCGAGCGGGGCCGAAGGCTCGAACGACTTGGGAAGCAGTGCTCGAGAATCCATCGGCGCAGTCGGACGTAGCAAAGTTTAACCGTGTGTACAGTTTGCCGTTCTTACGTTTGAATTCCAGCGTCGTCCTGTCGAACGCAGCACGATCCGAATCCGCGCTGCTGGCCGCCGATGCCGGGGCGGTCTCCGTCCCAGCCATGATGTCGCCTAATCCTTGCTCATCCATGATGGAGTAGAACAGGCCACTCCAGCCGTGGAAATCTTCCGGCTTCCCGCTAAACGGGACGTATCCTTGTTTCAGGTAGTTCGTGGCGGACGCCATGCTGCTGCTGGGGTGTGACTCGATGTGAATTACCTACCAAACGCTAGGCTCATGACCTGACAACAGAATTGTAGTTGCTGTTTGTTGTGTAGTTGGCAGTGGTGGCGCAGTTTGGGTAGATACAACACAGAGTGATCATTAGATCCAAAACACAGGCGCCCAAGCTGTCTTCACCTGACGGTTACAGACTTGGAGACACGCCTTCACAATACTGCACAAAACCCATGCAGTAGAATAGAGTCAGTTCTTGCATACAAATCCCAACACCAACATCCTCGTACTGGGTGCAATTCATGCACGAGTCTACTACTGTATGTATGGACTATAACTATTGTATAGACAGGTGCCACGGGCCCGTTGCCTTCTTGCGTTACCGTTAAGTTACAAGAGCAGCTGACACGAGCACATACGCTATAATAACTTAAACATCGAACCGGCGAGACAGAAGCTCTTGAGTAGTACCAAGTCGTTGTTAGACGGTTGCGAAAATGACTGGATAGCAGGTTCGTCGCCCAACAGCCGCACTACAGCAGTATCTCAACCCATCCATGGTAGCTCCTGTTGGACTATCGCCTTCTGCAGCTCTTTTAGCAATAAATACACGGGGCTGTCGATACCGCGGTCAGCCCGAGCACCGCGAAGGCGATCGAACCAACGACTTTGTACGCTTTAAGTCCCTCCATATACCCTTGTTCCATCTTGAAGACCCAACCACGTAACAACCTCCATGTCAAGCTCATGGTTACAGTAACTTCTGTCAAGCCGGCACCCAGCCAGACCAAACCGTTCCCCAACGCACCGAGGTGCAGGAACAAGTTTGCAATGATCCTCGAGCAATAAAATAACGCCCCTGCCAGTGTCCCGAGTACTGCCGATAAGCGTCGCCACCATGTCATTCTCCAACGGGAGCACGATAATCGCCGGTGATGCTTATAACTACCACGCCAACTGTATATGTCAAGTGCCCTCATGAAAGCAACCGCAGCATGTAAAATACGAGTATCCCCTCTACGTCATTACCTGCCCCCGCCGCCATCAGACCGCTTCCTCCTACCAAAGGACCCCTCAAGTACGCGTAGCTCAGCAATCAATGACTCTAACAGCTCGACACCAGAAACCAGCACTAGTCTAGAGAGAGAGGTAATTGTCACCCTTCCGAACCTGGCGGGTGCAATAGCATACCTACACGAACCAACACTTCGAAAGATCTGCCCGATCGTAAAAGCCTTTGATGGTGTTGGACTGTTCCCCATAAAACTTCCTGGTAGTAGGTGGTGGAAAGGTCCAACACTGGCATGGCAAAGCACCAAGCTTTCACTCCTTCGCCCTTGGAGCGTGCTGCGTTCCCGAGGCGCATCCGCGTTTAGACGAAAGCCTGACGCTGCTCGGGCAGCAATCACAGAGCTAGTTTTGCTCGGTACATGTAGGGTTCCCGAGGCTGTTACAACCGACGTAGTCAGGCATGGCAAGGTACTTACTCAAATAGAGTGCCGTTAACCCTGGTATGTGACTACAATTGTTCCGTTCTCAGCTCCGATCACTTTGCGCGCCAAAATGTTGCCGGTGTACCTCATACCTCCGAAAATTCGAGCCTATCGCAGTCCCGCGGCAATCGGTTGTTCAAAAACTCGAGCACATCCCTTTCGACTGGGTTTATATCTCGAACGGGTAGTCTTTCAGACTCGAATAATAAAACAAACAAGGCGACTGCGGAGAATCCGCACTCTGACTGCTCCAAGACCCCACCACCAAGGCCTGCTGCAACGTCCAGATGGTCGTCGCTACCTCCAAGAAGAGTGCAACAGACATAACCGAGAGGCGTTTCACCCGCGACTGCGCTGAGCTCTCATGGCAGGACAGCTTGGGAGGGTTGCCGTCTCCCCAACAGGGATATCGCCATATAGTCTATATCCTGTGTCCAATTCATGTTCGTTCGCCTGCGAACATATGCCCACTAGACCACCGGTCGCCCCGGTGGTCTAGTGGGTAGCCTCGCAGCCTGCTAAGGGCCAGGTCATGGGTTCGAGTCCCGACAGAGTGAGTTTTTTCTCGCTAATTAAATCCTGGTCTCCGTTGGAAGCGACGCGCTGCAAAGCTCGTTGTTAGTAAACTTGATCGACTTCATGAGGGATTGGTGTACCCGTCTCGCGATAAAAATATCTCAGGCAGGAACCGCAGGAGGGGGTCCAACCCCCCCCTCCTGTGTGACCCCGGTTGGGTCGTCTAGCTGGTAGAAGTGGAAGATAGGGGCCAGTGGGGCAGACGACAGAGTCCAATTATGGGAGAAAAAAATAAAAATGGTAAGGAGCCACAGAAATAAAATGAATCAAATCATGCACGATGAAGATGCTGGACAGAAAAAAAAAAAAAATGTATGACGGCGCGGGGAGCGCACGTGTGAAAAGAAAAAGTCGATGTGCGCTCTGCTGAAATGCGACAAACTCGCCGACGCACGGCTCAGGCCCCAGTGACAGCGACGAGGTGACACCCGACGACAAAACGCATACGATAAAATGAGCAATAAACGCACACCAGCCCTTCCCTTCATGGCTGCGGCCGCACGAGACTTGTACTATATATCAATTCGAGCGCACATCGCATCCCGGCGGCAGTAGATAGATAAGTGTGATATAAAGCTTTAGCTGGGTTTGTGTTCTGAGGTGGAGCACTGCGAACCAATCACAAAAGTGAGGTGTGGTTCTACTAGCAAGGGTGGTTCTGCTTGTTCGTCGGGTCCAGGGAATTTATGGTCAACGCTGTCGATACTCGTGATGCAGTCACGGGTCTCTGATGTGCACAAGAGGTAGAGTCGAATGTGGTCTCTTTTAGTCAGCCAAAGGTGAACTCCTGATCAGCAACAACACCTACTGTATCAGTCCAAAAAAGCGCCATGTCTGCGAGTTGACCCTTCGCAAAGGCTGAGTCGCCTTTGCGAAAAGCAACGGAACGTTCGCTGCCCCGTGTGGTGGGGCTACGGACAGCGGTAGCGCACGACACCCCACGACGAGCCGTGGGAGACGAGGTCGCCGGCGGCGCTCGCCCAGGGAGCGCCTGGAAGATGTCGCGCTCCACCGACGAGGCCCTGGAGGTGGCGCCGGAGCCGGGTGCCTCGCGGTCCCGGAGGCGCCGCTGACGACGCCCCTTGAAGGCTTCCAGCTCGCACCGGTGGCGGGCTCCTTCCTCTTTGACGGCGGCGGCGGCCGTCGTCAGCGAAGCATGATTCGCCTGTAAAGCAGCTATGGCCACCTCGGTGTCGTGAAGGTCGGTGGCGACCTTAAAAGTGACGCCTTCCGTGGAGACCAGGGCGTTCTTGATACCGATTTCCTCTTCACGATCAGCTTCATCCTCCAGCTGTTGTGCCCAGGCCAAGCGATCGGCCCGGACACGATCCACCGCAGCGCAGGTGGCCGCCTCAACCTCCGAAGAGGACAACAGCGCCTGCACTTCCCGCCAGAACCGGATCGCTTCGGGCGGCGGATGCCGCGGCTATCGTGATGCCGCCCAAAAGCACGGTGGATGATGCCGTCCAAGCAGCCCGTGTCCGCCGGAGCCCACTTTTGGAACAGGTGGAGTACCTCCTGGGGTCGCGTCGAGCGACGCACGAGCATGCCACGGACAAGGTGGTGTGGCCAGGATGTCACCGCCCTGCCCCTCCTCCGGTCCCGTCTTTCGCCGATTTCACGACGACATCCAAGAAGGTCTCCGTCAAGAGCGGCGGCCGCGGAAGCGGAGGCTCTGGCGAGAGCGACAGCGACAGCAGCCACCACTGCGGATCTGCTTCTCCCTATCGTGGTCGCACCCAGTCATCTTCTTCGGCATCCAGCTCTTCGGAGCGCGCGGACAAGAAAGGAGCGGACAAGAAAAGCTTCACCTCCCCGTCTTCGGCCACAGCTGGAGGAGCATCCTAGGACTCTGGCTCCGAGCGTAGCCTTCCTCGGAAAGCTTCTTCGGGCCGGTAATTCGGGCAAGTGGTACCGCCTCTCGTGGACGTTGTTTCTGATGATCGTCACAACGTTCTTCTGCGTGATGATCATGTTGTATTTTCGAATACTGTGTGGCGTAACAAGTCTATTGAGTTGACAGACTCCCGTGGTGCTGATGTTGCAGACACGAAACCGTGTATTACGACCGAACCCAGTGGTGTTGCTGTTGAAGCTGCCCCACCGTCTGAAAAATCAGAGCCTCTTGCCATAGCGAGTACGCCCACAGATGATCGTGTCTTACTGCTTTCGTCCACCACTGCTCATGCTCGCCATGAAACTGTTGCCGCTGCTGCTTCGGCAGCTGATGTCGCAAATGTTGCTCGTGTCTAACGTGAGTACGTCACCCTCAACCTAAAAAAAGTTGAGCGTTTTGCTACTTTGCCTTTCCTTGCTACTATGCCGCCAGCTGACGCGTACCAGCAGCTCATTCGCGCGGTTCGATCTGCACCTTGAGATATCCTATTATTATGTGATGATCGTAGCGCAGATTTGACGGACAACAGTTTTGTCCGCGGTTGGGAACGCCCTCTCAAAAAGCGAATTTTGAGTGCGATCACACCTGACAAACCTAAGTTCATCCGACCTTGTCCTCTCTATTTCTGATTACTTTCAGCAAAAATAATCCGAGGATGGTGAAGGAGCCACGGGCCCGGAGGCCTTCACGCTCCTTCTGCGGCTGTTGTCGGAGCAATTCGATGTCGGCGATCGGCAGGAGTCGTTCTTGCGACTTCTGCAGTTTGGTGTCTCGAATGGCACCTTGTTTGCGAACTACCTTCGAGCGTTCCGTCTTTTGGTTTCTTCAGTGACTGGGTCTGAGCGTGTCTTGGCTCCTAGCGTGTCTATGGTGCTTGAGATAGTTAGAAATTCTGGAAGTAAATCGTTTTCACCTTTGGCTCCGATGCTGTACCCTGGTGACCTGGCTACGGCCGTGACACCGTTTGACTCGATGGATGCAATGTGGCCGGCGTTTGCGCCTTTGGCCACCAACAAAACCCCCGCTATAGGAGGTTCAGAGTATTTTTCTTTGTCTCCTACGCCTGGCTCTTCGCAGCCCCGGCGTTCCCGCAACCGTGCAACTGCACCTGCGCCTTCGGGCCAGTGGGCACAAGGTTCTGCACAAAATCCTTTTGTTTTGGCAGCTCAGTCTCAGGGTGGCGGTGATGATCCGTTTTCCCGTGACTACAATGCATGGCCCGCCACACAGGGCGATTGGTCGAATGTGTGCCAAGTCAGTTCCTCTTTCCGCAACACCGGTGAACCTTTTTTGTGGACTCCTCTCGTGACACAGGACCCTCGCTCGCAAGCTTTTCGAGAGAACCGTAACCGTTGTATGAACTGCTCGGGTGATATCCATTCCATGAAACACTGCCCAGCTCCTTTCACAAATTCTAGTGGTCTGTTGAACCCAGAACTAGGCGAGCTGCAACACAACTCTGACACTTTCCAACGTTGGCAAGGCTACGCTAAGTTTTCCCAAAATCCAGAGCTGAGACTACACGTCCTTGGATCCGGAGACAAACTTTTAGCAGAAGCCAGTCCTACTGACTGCATTTGGGGAATCGGTCTTCGTGTAGATCATCCGGACACTTGTCGTCCGTCTCGTTGGCGTGGTCAAAATTTGGTGGGCGTAGCTATTCAGAACGTTCGCCAACTTTTATGATCAACCGCCCCACAGCCACAACGTAGTTTTCGCTTAGAGGCTTCGGGTGAAACGCCCAGGCGTGATCGCCGTACCGTGTTCGAAGTTAACCCTTCCACGCATCAACGGCTGTCGACGGCGTCTGTGCCGTCGTCTTCGGAGCGTGTTGCGTCATTTTCGCAATACGCCACTAGTGTCCCGTCTGATCATGAAAACAGCGTTTGGGCTGTGTTTCGGAACACTGAGCATTCTGGTCCTCAATCGCCTTTGCTTCCTGAGTAAGGTCCTAGTTTAGTCGGAGGTGTCATCACCGTTGACAAGGACTCTTTTACTGCACGAATCCTCATCCATTGTGGCTCGGCTTCTACGCAATTTGGATGCGTGATATTGCCGGACACCGGTTCACCCCAGACTTTCGTTAATTCGAACTTGGGAGTCCATGAAAACCGCGGGTGCAGCTTCGTCGTTGTTTGAAACACGCACCCGACCTCGTTGTTGGGGAGGGTTCGGTGAGTCTGCCTCCCTTCAAACGTCGACAATGGTCCGTTTGAGCGTTCAGTTTCTTCGACGAAAATTCCCGACCGCTTCTCTCGCCGTTTGGGCGTATGTTGTGCCTGACTTGTGCAACATGATGTGATGCTCGGCAGAGATGGTTGGATGCGGTTTAGCGACCGTTCCTACCGTACCTTGGCACAAGGCGCCCTAGTGATCGCGTTTTCGGGGAACTGACGTTAGCCCACCATAAGCAGGGTGGTGCTGAAGCTTTTGTGCATGATGTCACTGCTCGTGAGGGTAGATCCAGCTTAGATATGCTGGCCGATATCCCACTCAATTGCTGCCTGATCATCAACTTGTTCCAGTTTACTTAGTTCGCAGTGATGTATTTCCTGTCCTTGTCCGCAACAATCTGGTAGATATGTTTGCACAAACGTCCATGTTTTCTTCAGAAGAACATTTTGTTCCTCATGGCCGCCACGTGTGCCATTAGCAGGAGTTTCGAGTCCGGAACCGGGTGATGTTTTGGGTACGGCTTCAGCGCCCCTTCTCAAGGTTCCTCTGAGTGCGTTTCCGTGCAATAACGCCGGAGCGGGTCTTCCGGCCACAGCCGTTCCACCCGCTCCCACTCCGGACACGTCGAAACTTGACCGTACGGGTTCTGGCCCCGTCTTTAACGGCGATGGCTCCGGTTCGACAGCGTCACCGGCGGCTCATTCGTTTGTGTATGATTTGCATGAACGGACCGCCACACCGCCGAACCCGGCGTCTGGTTCGGATCCTTCTGATTCGACTCCTTCTTCGCCCCCTTCGGCTCTTTTGGCGCGTTTAGCTCCAGACCAACGTGCCATTTTCCCTCGAGTATGGGATAGGCTCCCCAATCACTTGCGATAAACCAAGTTTAATTTACATGGTCCTTGTTGGACACCGGACGTTACTACCGAGTTGGGTAATATGCTGTGTGAATACCACGATGTGTTTTCCAGCTTGCCTACGGATTCGGTTCTTGTTCGTTGTTCCTAATCAAGTTGACCGTTCCCCCCGGCTGTGAGCCCGTTACATCTCGTCCGTACCGAGTTAGTCCTCCGGTTGCGAAGCAAGTGGACGCTGTTGTCGGTTAATATCTTGCTGCGGGTCTCATTCGACACTCGACGTCACCGTACTCGGGTCCTTTGGTTGTAATACCCAAGAAATTCGGTGGTGTTCGCACTACTGTAAACTATCGTAAGTTGAATAAACTATGTGTTCATAATCAGCCTCCAATTCCTAGAGTTGATGATACTCTGGACAAATTGTTGAAGGGAAAGATTTATTCCCTCTTTGACATGAAATCTTCGTTCCATCAAATCACGGTTCATCGTGATACCATCCCTCTCACGGCGATTGTTACGTCTTCTGGGCTGTTTGAGTGGTTGAAAATGCCTCAGGGCAGCGCCGCTGCTCCCGGATGGTTCTGTAAGGTCGTCAACAAAGTCATCAAAAATCTTCGAAGTGTTGCGTCGTACCTGGACGACCTCATTATCTTTGATGAAACCCCGGCCGCTCATGTAGCGACCATTCGCTCTCTTTTCGAAAGATTGTGCAAGCACAATTTGAAGCTGACTCTCCCAAAAGCCACTATTTGCGCCACGGAAGCCGAGATTCTTGGGCACACTATATCTCCGGACGGCGTTCGACCGAGTGGTGAAATTTTGTTTGCTCTCACCAAGATGCCGATGCCCAAAGACACCAAGCAGCTTCGAGCTTTGCTGGGTGGTTTGAGCTATTATCGGAAGTTTCTTCCACAGATGGCTAAGCGTATTCACCCTCCTACGACTCTACTTAAGAAGAATGTCAAGTTTGAGTTCACGGGTTCAATGGAATCCGTCGTTCGCCAACTTCTCGAGGAACTGGCGAACCCTCCTGTTCTGGTGTATCCAGATTGGGATGCTGTATCCGACGGTTTGCGCCCTTGTCGCCTCTACTGTGACGCGAGTAAAGATGGGTTTGGTGAAACGTTTGGACAAGAGCAACCTGATTTCTCTATTCTGCCTTTCGTTTTCGTTAGCCGAGCTACACTGGAGTCTTAGGGTCATTGGACTCCTCTGGATCTTGAAGCTGGCAGTATCATTTGGTGCATCAAGCACCTTCGCGATTACCTTTGGGGCACCCATTTCAAGATTTTCACGGATCACAAGTCCCCTGAACACCTTAAACAGGTGGGGGAAGCCAACGCTCGCGTTCAACGTTGGTGGGAATTCCTCACGGCATACTCCTACGCTCTTGAGTATCGTAAGGGTTCGTCTAACGGCAATGCTGACTTGTTCTCTCGACTACCGCTAGAAGCTACCGAGCGTGACCGTTCTGGCCGCAGTCGTTTGACTCCGTCGGCTGAAGACGGAGTGTTTTTTTTATTCGTTCTTGTGGATTTGTGCCTTCTGGCCATCACGCCGGTGTCAGCTTGGGTGGGCTCGTTCCGTCTGCCCCGAGTTCAGTCTTGGGTGCGCTATAGCCTTCTTCAGCTGACTTTGCTGATTTTCGTGAGGATGGACCGCGCGCTAGTGTCGTTCATTCCGGAGTTCCTTCGGGCGTCTGGTCTGTTAAAGGTTTAACCCCGACTGCTATCGGTGCTTCGGGCTCTACAACCGCTCGCAACCGCGCTCCCATGGTCGCCTCGAACCGTTCTACAGTTTCGACTGTTGCTGATGTTTTTCCCGTCCAGGATGCGACAGAGACGCCCGCTACACGCCCTGGTGCTTCATCCAGGCGTTCCCTGAATCCTACCGATCTAATTTCGACACGGACCCGTCGGCGTGCTGCTGCTGCCGGCGGTACTCCACGCCGGGCTGTGGACCATGGCTTCTCTCAGCCGGAGGACTCGCTTCTCGAGCCGACTGTCCCTCAGTCTGTAGCTCACGCCTCGCGCTCATCAATCTTCGGCTTCCCGGCCGGTAGATTCCGTCGCCCCGGCGTCACTGAGTCCAATTCCCGAGATGGCCGTCCGCTCAGATCCGACATCGCCGACGACCGCGTCTGGATAAGTGCTTGGTTCGGTGCATGTTCCGCCGGCTATTGATGCCCCCAGTGCTTTCGGGCGTGGAGCTCGATTTCTGAGAATCGGTTGAGCGTTTTTCCCATTCTGATTGGGCGCGAGAACAACGCGGCGAACCCGTGAGCGATGCCGCGATACGCTACCTCCTTCTCGGTCAACCTTCCGCCTTACCGCCTGGTTTTCTGGACCACCGTCCGCCACATCGTCGACCTTCGCTTTCGGACATCCGTGAACTGGCGCAAAAAGGCCGGTTGCACGTTGGCGACGATGACGTGGTGCTCCTCGTTCAACCACACCTGCCAGGCGAAAAACGTACACAAATTTGACATGTGTTGGATCGTAGTGACCCCCATAAGCAACGAAACAAATCGCCGTGGCCGGAATTTCAATCAGAGCCGTGGCAACAATGCTATTGGCATAAATGTGTCTCAGCCAATCAGAAGCCTTCAATATGATATATTTCTACCGCAGTTTGCACCAAAGCGACCCCCATGGTCTAAAGGGGATAAAAAAAAAAAATGAAAACGATTATTGTGGAGGCAAGTATTGCCCAAAATGGTGGTACTACTGCCGCGATTTGGCGTCGTCAGATTCCCATGGACGAATTGTATATGGGATGAAATACATATAGTCTCGTGCTTATTTGCCTTGTATATATCGAAGCAACTATTGAATAGCCCTCAGATTTTGATAGCATGGTGCAACATAGTTCCGCAAACCGCAATAAAAAATGAGAAGATGCTTGCTGTCCTCACCAGCGTTGTGGGGTCCCCGTTGTGGAAGCCCGGAAAGGCGGTTCCAAATAAAAGTTTATGAATACCACCTTTTTATTTCCCGCTCCGGGATAGTTCAATGACCCTTTCCAGGAAGCTTTGTAGTAGCAATTGTAAAACTGGCGCAGCACGGGGCTTTGCAGTAAAGAGGCCCCGCAGACGATTCTCTACTATAATCAAGTAGTTTGGGGGGAAACCAGGATGCGCAATTCTTGATGGCACAAAAGCTGAAATCTTCACGTCGTTTTTAGGAGTTTGACTTCGAAACTTTGCCCACATGTACCCTGGATTAGTACGAAACTTTGGATGGACGGTCTCTTTAACTTTTTGCCCCTACCGCCGGATATCCGGGGTCCCAGGAGCCGCATACGACCCCGAAACCTCTAGGACCCCTAATATCCGGGGATGGGAGAAAAAAAAAAAATCCATCCAATGTCTCGTACTGACCCAAGGTACATGTGTGCAAAGTTTCAAAGGTCTAACTCCTATAACGGCGTCAAGTTTTTATGTTGAAAATTCTTGCATACATTTCCTCGAACCAGCTTGTAAGAAGACGACCACGACCACATCTGCCGCTTCCACACGCCCTGGCGGGCGTGCGGCACGTCTTCTCAATGACGAACCTAACAGGGTTTATGTCCCCATGTTGATGCGTCCATGGATTATGCAGGTCTGTCACGCTCACGCGTCTTGTCATCTTGGTGGAGCTCGTACGCTGTCTATGTTAGCGCGTTTTCACTGGTGGGTAGGCATGAATTTCTGTACCAAATGGTGGATCCGTCATTGCCTAGCGTGCCAAGCCCGCAAAACTTCCCGACAAACGGCCCGGTGGCCCATTTTAAGCTTGCCGCTGCCGTCCGAACCTGGAGTGTCCGTGAGTGTCGATTATTTCGGCCCACTGCCGACCACCCCTCGGGGTAACACTTACATTCTTCTCTTCACCGACCGATTTAGTCGACGTGCTGACATGTACGCCGTTACGGCCGCTGAGTCTACCGCTGAAGGTACTGCAGATATTTAGTGGATCGGTATATCCCTCTGTGGGGTTGCCCCTTGAGTCTTTTATCAGACAACGGTACACAATTTTGCTCGAAACTGTCGCAAGCCGTTTGCAAACGCCTCGCAGTTCGCGAAGTGGCCACCAGCTCGTACCATCCAAATGGAAATGGGGTGTGTCGAGCGAGATAACCATACTATGGCACAAATGCTTGCCATGGTCGTTATCGAAAGGCAAGATGACTGGGACGTTCATCTCCCTCATGTTGAGTTTGCGTACAACAACTCTGCTAGCGCTGCCACCGGATTAGCGCTAATGAGGTGCTACAACAACCGTTTGCCTCGACAACCTCGACTTCCGATGACTGTCATCGAGCATCCTTATGCTCGCGGTCATCAAAGTTTGGATCGTGATCATCTTGAATATTGCGATCTCGCTGCTGATCGCCAACGCCGTGCAAACGAGCTGGTACGCGAGCAGCACAAGTTGTCCGTTTCTCGGATTGAGCGTCGAAATTCCGCTCTCTCGGATGCTTTGTACAAGCTTCCATCTTACGCCACAGGTGCTTGGGTTTGGGCTTGTAATTCCGAATCTACCATTCGCTCAGAACAACATATTCGCCTGATTGAGAGCGAAGTATCTGATTGAGAGCGAGAGCCAAAAAAATTGAAATTTCGGGTCCAGACGCCTCTTGCCATTTCTTGGCAAGTAGGGGACGGGCTATTCCAAGAAGCGGTGCAAATTGAAGGTCTCATCAGCAGCTTCGCGAGCATATGCGTGTCATCGTCATCGGATGCTGCAGCGAGGAGCTAGACAAGTTGCTAGATTTGCCCAGATTGGCTATTTCTGCTCAAACTGTTTCAGGGCGGTATCGCGTCGGGCGGTGGGCTCTGCTGTAGCTTCTGCTCCCCGCTGTAGCTCCACAACGAGAGACTCCCACAGGATGACCAGGGTAGCGGCTTGAAGCTACGGGCTAGCCCTTCAATTCAAGCTACACAGCAAGCTCCACCTCTCAGTGGTAGTCCGGCTACAGCGTATCGCGCAATCTCGCTCTCAATCAGATGCTACGCTCTCAATCAGGCGAATATGTTGTTTCAGGTGTCCGATCAGTTACTGACGACAAGGTTCTCAAAGCGAAGTTATCGTTGCTTTGGACCGACCCGTTCAGAGTTTTGGCTGTTGCCCCCTATTCAAAAGCCCCTGATGGCAGTCCTCGTGGGGCCAAGATGTTATACTTGGATCTTCCGTCGGATCTGCCGGGCAAAGACTCGAAACGTCGTGTTGCAGTCGCGCGCTGCAAGCCGTGCGCCAACCCGCAAGATGCTGCGGATCTATCGCGGTTTTTGCCCGCTCGTCTCACTCAATATGTTTCGAACAACTCCACGACCAAATCTCGCCCGTGTCATGTTGCGGAAGATAGATGACGTTTCGGCGTCGGTCGACCTCTGCAGGTGGATCAAATTACTGGTCATCAGTCTGTTCGTGTTCGTGGTGGTGTCATCGCTGTCCTGTACCAGACGCAATGGAAAGGTCTTCTCCGTCCTTCTTAGGAACGTGAGATGGATCTTCAACACTCCAGATCACAGATTCTCCGGTATTGGACGAGTTCGCCCGATCAACACCGTCAGACAAGTCGCCGTTATCGTGCGATGCGTGTTTGGCGCAGCTGCACGGGAACTAGCACGTGCTAAGGGCGAGAGCTATTTGCCTCCGGGTTACTCCTTTGTCTCCCGCTCAACCTGGGACCGTCGTTTCGCCGATACTCTTCTACCTGTGGGTGGTTTTTTCTGGTGCAAGGCTCACCATGGACTTTGGTGGCCGGGCAAGATTTCTGGACCGACTGAACGGGTCGACCACTTCATGGTCCGCTTCCTCGACGACCCTGGACCGATCAAGATCGCCCGCTCCGATGTTCGCCACTCTACCCTCGGATCTGCCGTCTGTGGTTCATGGTGTCTCCAAGTTTACGGCGGAAGCGCTCTCATGAAAAGACTTCTTTGCAATGTTGATGTGTCGCGGAATATGGAGGAGGCGCATTCGTCGCCCAACGATTCAACGCGCGCCCACTAAGATGGCGCGTTTCATGACTTCTGCCTGTTTGGTTTCTGTGTGTTTTCTATCCCGGTTGCGATGCGGACTTAAGGTCGCCCCTTATCTCGTCCGGTTCTTCCATTTGCATGTACATGTAGGCTATTGTTGCCTACTAGATAGCGCTGTGTTAGGCTTCGTTTCGGTATTTCGACCCCTTTTTCCCGTCATTCTGACCATTCTGACGACCGGTTTGTTTCCGGCGGGTACGTCGTCTTGTCCTTCGAGTCCTTCTGCGTTTCTGATTCTTTCGCCGTTCGCGTGGTTAAGTTCTCTTCGGCTCCCTGCTACGGTTTGGTTACGTCCGCCCTTATGTTGGGTCATGACCCCCTGGTTTTCGTTGTCGAAACGATTGGTTTCTTGTCTTTTTGGGTGTGCCGTAGTGCTAAATATAACGTCAGTCGGATTCCTTTGTGGTTAGCTTATACGGGCTAGCCGTGAGTGTTTTCGTCGCTTTTAGTCGTTTGGACGACACCGAGTGCTTAGTGTTTTTTTATCGTTTTGTCCATACGGTTGGTCATCGCCGTTCCGACGGTGTTTTTCCTGCGTTTCTTTCTTTCTTTGGGTTCCGACCTGGTATGGTACTTGCAGCGTTAACGTTTCCTTTTGTTGCGTCTATTGCCCCCCTGTTTTCATTCCTAGTCCCCGTCTTCTCCCTTCTCTGTTTTTTTTTTTTGTTGGGTCAAACGATGGTCTTGCGACTCATCGTGTGAGAGGTTGTTGTTGTTTCTCACATCAGCTCTATAGTCCACAAAAAAGGTCACACGTGTGGGAGGTTGACTCTTGGTATTTTGGAGCTCCACATCCTCGATCCTTTTATTTTGGGATTCGACAGTTAGTTGGGAACTTCCTATGTTTCAAGTATCTGCGTATGAGAACCTCCAGGGTGGGCTAGTGTTAAGGGATTTGAATGTAGCCAGTGTCAACGGTATTGAGGAGAAATTCCCAGAGGAAAGTGCGGGAGATGTAACTCCCGACGGAGGGATAAAACAAGGGACAGGACCTCTGTGGCCCCTTTTTGAGGAACATGTCCTCCCCTTCTGTGCTCAGTCTACCTTAGAGAGCAAGGCAACAGCAACAACTGCTGTTCCAAGAGATGAATAACCAAGTGAATCTTCATCAGGGTCTTCAGGGATCGCTACGCGTGTATAATCCCACGACAGCGAGGCCTTCTGCGATGCCGGGAGCCGGGAGCGGCTGCATTTCGAGGTTGGCCAGAAGCTGGCTCTGTCTGCTCTGTCGGGCATCGGGCATCGGGCATCGATGGGCATCGTGCACACAGTGTCGGGTACCGAGAACCGGTTTGCCTGTCCAAAGGACCGTTTCGCAGGCGGGATGTCCTGCAGATACCATCTTGTGGGGAGAGGCCCACCCCTTTCTGTGCGCGATAGTCTAGAGTGGTTGCGTCTTTATCTGAAGTGCCAACATCCCAAACCTCGAAAGTAAGCTGCTCAGTCTTCATACATACCGTCCCACAAGAAATATGCTGCATGATCAACGATTGCAGCAGCAGCAGCACCGCATTGATTCTGTTCATCTATCAGTTGACGAGAAGCGTTGTTCGTCACTTGCTGCAGTTTCCGTATATTGTAGTGCAGCAACTACAGCGCGATGCCCCTACTACTTCCCAACATACGTAGTGGACAGACCTGTGCAGGGGTCTTGCCCCTGGGTCTATACTTCTTGTCTTTGTATCAGGCGTACCGGCGAGAGGGATCCACCCGCCCTCCCTTCAAAAAGACAAAATCCCAAAACGCCAAAGATTGGCGGGGGGCACATGGATAGGATATGCCACCCCCCCGTCCTTCGGCGAAGCGGGGGGGCACTGCTGGTGCACAGCGAAACTTGGAGCAAGGCAGACACAACAGCACAGACTTGCAACACAACGCACAAGCGCAAGGAGAGTCAGTCGACATCAACGAGAACGGGTTATTGAGAGACTTGACTTCGCCAGGGTGCAGCAGAGTGCAGAGAGTGTGGTGCCCGCTCGTAGAGTCAGCGACAGGACAAGCCGCGTTACCGTCGAAGACCCAGCAGCATCATTTCAGCAGCGCCGTTTTTTTCAGCAGTAGATTGGTTTTGCTCTGGCTAAATAGAGAAGAGCAGAGAAGAAGCTGTGCGTGCCTTGGTGCTTGCTGTCGAAAAGCGCAGTGAGCATGCTGGACCAGTGGATACAGACCCTTCAGGCGGGAGACTGCCTTGCCGAGCGCGATCTAAAGAAGCTCTGCTTGATGGTGAGTCGAAATGCTGACAGGCATAGGCGCCCGGTCCGCCGACTGCAGGGCAGTTACGCCGCCTCTGCTATTTGCTGATGTCCCCATGGCAATTACGAGCTAAGAGCTGTTGTTGCAGTGCCCACCGCACCGTGTTGCCGTGTCCTCGTGTGTACAGTAGTTTCCAGAGGGTGAGCGTACCCATAGTGAGTATGCACGTGTGTTGCGTCCATCATGAAGTTGCTCGAGGTTGCTGCAAGAGAAAACGCGATGGATGATGTTGCTGCAGAACGTCAGCAGCTGTGTGCGCAATCTATCTGGACCTCGTCTTCGTTTCTGTACGTTCAATGGGCGCACTCCAGGCGTTCGGCCACTGCAAGGGTTGTAGTCGAGCCTGTGGCATGTCTAACTCTCGCCCCACCTGATGTTGAGCGTTCTACATGTAGCCACACGTACCCCTTCATTCGGCTGGTACAATCGGTCTGCAGTAGGAAGGAGCAGGCGAGAGCGAACCGTTGTGTTGGTGCTGGTTGTCTCTCAGTCTTCCCCAGAAGGAGGGAATGCACACTACAGCAGTACCTGCCTCGTACTCGTACTGCTGCTGCTGCGTTGTGTCTCCCCCGCAAACTAGCAAATAACCGCGAATACCAACGCGGGCATGGCTGCACCAGGCAGCATGCCACAGCCGCAACGCGTGAGCGTCATGGTAAACCCCGTTTTGGGAGGCGTCGTTGCCCTTGGACTTGCTGACGCTCCTACTGCAGTATAATAGTTGCAGCTGCTGTTCTTGGGGGTCCCTCCCGGGTTGACGGGTGTAGTGCTGTACCGCCGCACATGTCTTCTTACCACCAAGAAGCAGTCTACCTTGTTTCGCTGGGAAGATACAAAACTTGCTACCCGTGCTTGTGGCATGTATCAGACGTAGTGTCTACCGTATGGCAGCAACCACAGCTACTCCGTAGTCGCTTCGATCTGATGCAGCGCACGCCAAGCTCACCACGCAAATACGATAATCAAGACTTTGGCATGTACAGCAGTACAATAGCACGGCCTAACAACGGAGGCTTTCCACGGCTTCGTAATGCTATGATATCAGGGAAGTTCAATTTCAGGGGTATTCCACATTGTATGGTACCACAGCAGCTCTGAGGCTTGCTACGTGCGTAGGTTTCGGGAGGCGTAACTGCTGTCTGGGCGTATAGATAGGCTAACCTGATTCGACTATGTTTTAGAATAGTCCAGAAGTCAGAATTGACCGCCAGGATTTAAATTTCCAACGCACCCCTTGGCACAGGGTGCATGCAGTACAGCATTACAGCAGTGTTTATCTCGAACGGGTAGTCGGGTAGTCTTTCTTTGCTTACAAGATGTGTTACAATAGATGGAGGAATGAAGCATGGCATAGCCTTGCGCCGGCATTCGCACCGGGGGTGTTTGGTCTTTACCGTACATGTAGCGGAGAGCACGTACGGGGCTCCACAAAACCAAGACAGCCTACAGTACCCAAGGCTTCAAAACTCGGCCTTGCAGCGCGTGCAAGAGCTTTGGGTGACGCAAGAAAGTAGTACAACAGCACCCTTGAGAGATCGTCTTGGATACCAGATATCCCGCCGAGTGATAGACATGCTTTGTGCCTCTGGCCCGTGGACGAATAGCGTTGATGGAAAGGCCGTTGGCGAGCGCTTGCACTATAACTTGAGTTGACCTCCCCCACCCCCCCCACCCCACAGGTGAAGGAGATCTTGATCGAGGAGAACAATGTCCAGCTGGTGAGATCGCCGGTGACGATTTGCGGGGACATTCACGGGCAATTTTACGACCTGCTTGAGCTTCTTGCCATGGGTGGAAAAGTGCCAGACACTAGTTATATTTTTATGGTGAGAGGCGGGCGGAGGTGGCGGAGGGGGGCGGGCGGGCCGCATCAGGGAGGAGCTGAGAGAGAGAGAGAGGGCTGCCACGCATTTCAGCGAGAAGAAGCCGATTATATAATATACGCCCGTGATTCGCCGCGTTGAGAGAGAGGCGTTAATGCAGGCGTCATGTGCCAATCGATGCAAGCCGCAGCCCAACCCAACCCAACCCAACCCATTGGGCAGGGGGTACGCTAAGCTAGGCGACTATGCAACACGCAACACGTGGTCGTGGGGGGCGACGGTTGTACCCGACGTAGGATCGTTCCGTGTCCATGTCCCATGTCGCATGTCCCATGTCCCATGTCGGTTTCCTTGATGTGCTTGCGGTTTACCGTTCTGGCTGTGTCTGTTGGGATTGCTGCAGAGTAGGAGGTATGCTTGCGACTTTGCCGGTCTGGCTGTGTCCGTTGGGAGTATTGCGGAGGAGGATGTGTCAACGGTTTTACCACCCACCGCTATTCCTTTGTTTTTTATGCTTTTGTCATGTGTTGCTTTCGCTTTCGCTTTCGCTTTCGCTGTTGTAGGGGGACTTCGTTGACCGAGGGCACAATAGCGTGGAGACGTTCCAGCTGCTTATGGCCCTCAAGGCGAGATATCCAGACTGCATGACGCTGCTGAGGGGGAATCACGAGTCACGACAGATTACACAGGTTTGGCCAGTGTCTCAACTGTAGTGCCCACGGAAGCTCTGGTGCTGCTAACGTACACGTCGGTGGAATAAATACGTTTGTTGGTTTTTACGTAGGTAGATGGCACATGACATCACACCGTGTGGACCGATTTTCAAAGCTTATTATGATACTCAGCAGCAGAAAGAGTGGCGGTGCCGAAAAAATTACGGCGTTGGAACCGTCGCATCGAGAGCTTTCCGAAAATATATGGTTTCATGTAAACATCTCTTCGTCATGGAGTAGTCGAGCGTTGAAAAAATGTCCAAGAGGGGGGCGGTGACACCGTATGTCCCCTAACATTGTTATACTCGTGTTTTGTTTTCTGTGTAGCCCCTTTCTCACCACGTCGCAGCAGCGTGAGAAAAACATGTCGGGTGGTCATGTTCTTGTTTTCTTACAAACCCAACATGACTTACAGAACCGGTGGTTGGGCAAGATGCCTCCACACACGCGCTGGGCCGATATCGAAAGCTCCTTTTCTCCACGACCAAAAATATTCATCAATCAAATGATCAAATGATACATGCTTGTTCGGAAAAGTCTCAACGAGATGACGGTTTGCCGGCATCTCGGCACGTTCACTGGTTTCGCTGCAGAGAAATCGAGCTTGAGTCAAGGGTGTGTGGTGTCTTCCGCAACCTATGGTACGCAAGTATGGGAGTACATGTAGTTGAATAGTCAAGATGCACCACGAACAACCCCAACTCTATGCCCCTACTTTGCCTGAGAGACCTCCCTCCTCCCT